TCAGGAGCCCCAGGCTCCTCCCAGAGTAGGTTACGGGGAGAGGAAGAGGGAAGGACCAGAAGGAAAGGAAGAAGGGAAGGAACTTTTGGGGGCTGAGGTCCTTAGAGGACCCTGCTTTGTGTCTGCCAAGATCTAGTTCCTCTTCCTCAATTACAGCACCCCAATTTTCCTTTTGGAGCCCCCCCTTTCCCTTCACTCAGTCCACGGTGCGCTGGTGGGGCTGCATGGGCGAATGTGTGACTGGGGCCTGGCCAACTGGAGAAGGCCTTGCCCCCAACTCAAGCTAATCCGAGTAAACCCTCAGGATTCAGCTGGAACTCTTAGGAAAGAGATGTGCTTTTCCCACTGGGGTTGTGCTACCTGGTAGAGTGTGTGTTGAATGCTGGAGGGCCATCTTGGCATCACATGGAAGAGCCTATATGAGAGTGAGGCCAACCAAAAAAAGGCAGAGCTAAGAGAGGGTGTGATGGGCAATTTTATGTATCATCTTGGCTAGGCCATGACACCCAGGTATTTGGTCAAACGGATCTGGGTGTTGCTGTGAAGGTGTGTTGTTGATGAAGTTACATTTAAACTAGTAGACTTTGAGTAAAGATTATCCTCTATAATGTGGGTGGGTTTCATCCAAAAAGTTGAAGAACTTTATAGTAAAAAGACTGATGCCCTTGAGGAAGAGGGAATTCTGCCTCCAGGTTGCCTTTAGACCTGAGCTGCAATATTAGCTCTTCCCTGGGTCTCTAACCTGCTCGCCTGCCCTGCAGACTTTGGACTTGCCAAGCTCCACAACTGTGTGAGCCAATTCCTTAAAATCTCTCCTTTCCCTTCACCCTATCTCCCTTACTCCTCCCACCTCCCAACAGTTACAGATGGCCAGAACAGATTCCTAATGTCTTGTTTTAGTACTTGGGTCTTGCCAGACCTGACATCAAATACCCTTGGATTTTCTACTTAAGTGATCATCCTGAATTGGACTTTTGTCATTAATAACCCAAAGGGTCTATCTCAGGAGGGAGCAGGAGCTCACATGACTGAGCTCTCTTTCCATGTGAAGGTTCCCTTCTACAATTGACCTTGACCTTGAAGGATGCATAGAAGGTCACATGGGCATGAGGCCAGGATGGAGTGAACATGAACATGTGCAAAGACACAAACAAGTGACAGAACATGGCAAGTCCAGGAACTCAGAGTTCAGTATGGCTGAAGTGAAAGGAGTGATTGGCAAGAGACCAGCTGGAGCACTTGTCAGGGGCCAGGTAATGGGGGACTTTATATGCCAGGCCGAAGAGTTTGGACTTTGTCCTAAGGACAGCATGGGAGGCGTTGAGGAGTTTTAAGGAGAGCCAGGTTTTGGCTACTTCACTCTGCAGGGTGAAGATCACATAACGCAGAAATAAGATAGGTGCAGAGAGGAGTTATTTTATGGCTGGAGATTTCTCTGGTGCTCCTGAAATCATATTCTATGCATTACTGCTTTCTCTTCCACTCGAAGCAGTGCAGCATGATGGTTAACGATATGCACTCCTGGAGCCACCCAGCCTGAGTCTCCACCCTGGCTCTTCCACTTACTATTGAACATAGACATGTTACTTAAGTCTTGGTGCCTCAGTTTCCTCAGTGAAGGTAACGTCATTGTCTACTTCTTAGTAATGTCTTGTAATGATTAAACGTCACTAGGTGTTTAGGGCTCAGCACAGTGCTTGACACTTAGTAAATATCTAGTTGTCAGCAACAATCGTACTCCCATCAGGAGAATGGACGGGTTCCTTGGCTGCCACCTCCAGGCCCCAGGAGGGCAGCAGAAGCGGGGCCTCTGGACCTCTGCTCTCCCCCTGCACCAGCCCCCACCTGCCTTTCCCAGGGGGCTGTGCCTGCGCCCTCCGGTTCTCACACAGCATGGCCAGCCTGGGCCCCAGGGACCTGGGAAGGGTCATTGCAGGGACAGGAAGAGAAAAGGGCTTTCAGCTTTGAAAACAGATTTTTGTCCAAATTGCGGGCTTGGGGACTAGATTGCAACTGGGTGAAACCCAGCTTCCTCGCCCTTCACAGGCCCAAAGGGGGCATCTCTGAAGCACAGAAGCTGTATGCCCAGCCCTTGCGCTCCCACTTCCAGGTGCAGAGGTGAGAGGTGAGAGAACATCTCAGCAAACCCAGGACGAGAGGTGGGAAGCAAGTTCAATGAGATAAATAAAACACTAAGAATTCAGAGTGAAAGGACACCTTGAATTAACCCGTCGTTTTTGGTTTTGCTCCCCAATGTAATAGAAATGGTAGCTCTGCCATCCAGTTAGGGAGACACTGGATAAGTCATCCCCTCCTTGGCCTCAATTCTCCTGGATACCCAAGGATAGGAGTCCAATTCAAAGGCGGCAAGTAGGGCTCCTCTGGTGGGCCTTATTTGATCAGTTGTTAGTGGCTCTTCGTTTGGCAGGTTAGAGAGAGCCCTGGGATTAAAGGAGTGATGTGTGCCATGCGTGCGGGAGCCAATGGGTGGTGCACAGGCAGTCCTTTGCCTGGATGGGTTTTAGTCCTGAGTGCTCGATCTTGGCAGTAAGTGGATTCCCAGGTCTGGCCCAGTGCCTGCCATGGCCCCATCGAAGGTCAGACGCTGCTTTAGGCCCCATCTCTATACACATTCTCTGGGCCATTCAACTTCTTACCTGGTTATTGCCAATGTCTGCTGGGGAGAGCTGTGTACTTTGGGTTCAACATGGGACAACTTTCAAATACATAAGAATTGATTTCCTTGATGATAGTAAAGAGGGAGTCAGGCTCTATGAAAAGGAAGCTGAAGCCCGTTGCAGCCCACAGACCCTGCCAGCCCTAGGCAACCTCGTGGCTCAGGACTTACGTCAGCCACGTCCCCAGCCTCCCCTATTCCTTCTTCCCCTATTTCCCTCCCGCCCTGCCCAGTGGCACACCTTCCCTGCCCCTCTCTCCTAACCAGGGGCTCAAGCCCTCTTTACTGTCTCACTCGTCAGGTGCTGATAAGCCCTGATCAACCCATTCCCTCTGAGTGCCAGGAACTAAGAATAGCTGGAGATAAACTTCAAATGGCATCAACGAGCAGGAGGCCTCAGTGACAGTTGCCATCGCTGAACAGCAGAACCTTAGTTGCTCTTCAACTCTGGGGAGAATTGTTCTGCCAAAGGCCTGGAACCTGAGACATTCTGATGAGGGCTGCCCGGCCCTACACAGCATGTAGTGGAGAAAGGTATGGACTCTGGAGCCAGAGTACCTGGGCTTCAAATGCCAGCTCTGCTACTTTCTCACATGTGGCCTAGTGAAAGTCACTTAGACTCTTCGTACCTCAATCTTCTCTTAATAAAACAGGGTTGGTGATGATAGCAGTACCTACCTAGTAGAGTTGTGGAGGGGAGCACATGAGCTTAGCGCTTAGAACAGTACCTGGCATGTAGTCAACGCGATCTAAGTGTTGGCTGTTTTCACAGGGCTCCTTGGGGGCCATGCACCAGTCCCAGTCACTGCGGTTTGGGATGGAAGGCACCAGGGTCCAGCCCAGGTCTGGCACACAGTAAGTGGTAGCAAATATGAGCCCCCTCCTTTTACCTTCATTTTGGAATTGTCTCCAGAGCCAAGTTAGGAGCTAGATAAGAAAACACAGAGCATTCCTCAGTGCAATTACTGACTGGGAGCCAATTAGAAGGTGGCTTTGTCTCCAATGAGATTAGAAAGTCCAGCAGATGCTGTCTCTCCTTCTTCCTTTGTTCCTCCAACTGATCATGACTTGCTGCCCTCAGTCTCTACTGACTCTACTACCATATTGGGAGAGATGTAACCCCACATCTTAGCCACAGCTGATTGGAGCTCGGAATGGTCCCTGCCCACTCAGGTGAGTTGGCCCAATCAGATTCTGCCTTGGGAATCTGGAGTTGGAAACTGAGCCAGGTGGTTATGATGGAGCTACAGCTGAAAGGTCATCTAGAGTTGGGCAGAAGACAATGATGGCCACATTCAAGCTGAGCCCTGGGGATGCAGAAGAAGCTGGTGGCAGAGTCAGGAGGCTTAAACAGAGACACAGTAAATCAGGACCACCTTCTACTTCCGAATCTCAGGAGGCCTGGAGACACCCTGTTTCCTTAGCTTGGATTTTCACGAAATACCTACACTGATGCAACCCTACTTTCTTTCCCTGGAGCATCCCTGGGCCCTGTAACCAGGAGGGCCTCAACTTACCCCTCAGCAGCCTCTTGGGTCATGCCCTTGCCTCCTTCCATGAGGTTCTGCTGGATGTTATTTCAGGGACGGACTGGGCCCCTGTACCTCCCTCACATCCCGTCTTGGTGACCTCAGGGGAAGCAGCTGCGGCCATGCTGTCCCTGACAGAAGTTGAGGCAACCCATGCTTTTAGGCAACCATCTGGGGTTCCTGCCTTCAGCTTTGCTTTCTGTAATTGCGCCAAGTCCCTACCATACGGGCTTCATTCCCTCTCATCTTTCTGCTGAGAAGACACTTAGGCCCAGCTCAGCCTGGCTCCTGCTGCTCCAGCCTTGGCTCCAAGCCAGCCCCTGTCCAGTTGATCGTGTCCTTTGTGTCAGACCCAAATCTCAGCACTGGGTTCTGTTTCTCACTCTTGAATAGGAGCCAAAACCTTATGTTTTTTTTTTATTTGACAATCTTGAATCTACTGCCCAAATCCACACTCTCTATTATAAGCTGGGAAAGAAATGTTTATTTTATTGATGAGTTCAGAGTAAAGTTCATGGCAACAATCTTAGCAGGAATGGCAGCAGGAGTGAGAAGAGAGGGGTGGAGTAAGAGAGACCTAAGAGTCAGGTCCTATTAGATATCAAGGGAGGAGTCTCCCAGGGCAGGGAGAGACCAAATTCACAGGGCCAGAGAGAAGACACGAGAGTCTGGTCCCCGGGGACGCGTAGCAGAACGGCTGGCTGCCCTCTCCCTTAGAGGCATGGCCGGAGGTTCTCCTTATGCAACACTTATACAGGGCCAATGGGAGTCTGAAACCTCTGGGTGCCCACTGTGGGTTTCCAGGGTGCCTGCAGGCTGGCGTCTCTCAAGGCTGATTCCAGGCTTTGTGTCCAGAGGGACGGGTCCAGAGCTCACTGCCTTCAAGGGGTGAATTTGGTTTCTCCTTTTGGACTTCAGAAGAAGGTCCTGTGGGGAAGATGAAACAGACCAGGAGGGCGCAGGCCTTGTGGGTGCACACTCAGAGCAGGGAAGGGCCTGGCAACAGGGAGGACCCCACCCAGTGGTACGAGGGCCTGCCAACTTCTGGCTGCCCCCCGGGGTGCGGGGCCCCAGCAGCTACACACCAGCCATAGCCACAGCACACAGGAGGCCAGGGAGAAAGCAGAAGGGACACCTGGGATGAGATAGGAGGGGACCAGAAGGGGTTGGGGTTCCTCACAAAGAGCAAATAACAAGTGACAGAAAACATAGGGCCACTGAGGCCATTCCAGAAACCACAGCATAGCAGGCCAACTATCTTAGAAGCATGAGGCCCTTATGTTTTGAGAAACTTGTAACAGGAAAGTCAGTAAGTCCAAGTGTGGGTCTGTCCTAGATGCTGCCAGCCGTGGGCTTTAGGCCACACCAAACACCAGTTCACAGGCACTTGCCAGCTCTGTCCATGAGCACAGCCCTGTCACAGGGTGGGAAACACCCCAAAGCTGGGCTCCACAGTGTCCCACAGATAAGAATCCGGAGCCAAGGGAGAGAGAAGGCACAGTTTGGTCTGAGCAGGGCTCAGGCCACGACAGATCACAACAGGACATGAACAGCCCCAATTGGCCAACCCTGGTTCTTTGGACCAGCCTTAATTGCCTCTTAATTGCCCTGACTCTGTCCAAGCACAGGGTGCAGAGGAGCTCCCAGAAGATGCTGCTGCCAGGGAAGGGGAAATCCAGGCTGTGCTTGCCTTGGCCTCTCCCAGCCTGTCCTGCCTTGTTCAAAGCACTCTCTGAGCCCAGCAGGGAATGGTGCTCACTGCTCCATTCTGCTCATTAGGGTGCTGTGTGGGACCTTGGCAGGTCCCAAGGGCTGTGGTGAGTCAGGATGCCCAGGTCCCAAGCATGCTACAAAGTAGGCTCTGCTCAGCCCCTGTGAGTGGGAGGGCCTTTGAGTCCAACAGAGTCCCAGCAGCAGGCCCGGGTGGCACTTCGGGGACATGCACTCTTCCAGACACCAGTCCAAAGAACCCTGCCGACAGCATGGGCAGCAGATGGCCACTACACGCAGCATGAAAAGACGAGGCCCTGCAGCCCGCCTGCCTATTCACCGTAGGGGGCTGCCAGCTCCAGCTGCAGGAAGAACCCATGTCTAAGCACGGGAGCACGGTCTTCAAGGAGCTTTCGGACCGGCTGGGGGCTTTCGGCTGCAGAGGAGGGAAGAGAAGAGCTACATACGCAGGGCAGAGCAGGAAACACAAAACAGGGCTCAGTGATTCCCAGGCAGAGCTCCACCAGACCTCTCCCTTCACTTGGCTCCTGCCTAGGCCCTGGGTTCCAGAGTTAGTTGCTACAAGACCTTGATTTTTCCAAGACGTGCATGGAACTCAGCCTCTGCTGGGAAAGGGAAGCAAGCAGGTACGGTCACGCCTGGCAAGCAGAGGGGTAGGGAGGGGATGTGATAAGATGAGGATGGAGGTCGGAAACCACAGAGGCAGAGAGAGACAACGGTAGAGACAGAGAAAAACAGTAACAATGGATGCAAAGACCCAGAACAAGGGAGAGGGAGAAACAAAAGGGTGAGAAAGAAGAGGGAGGGCGATGAAGGGAAGAAGAGTGAAGGGGAAAGAGGGAGGCAGGTGGGAGAGAGATTGACAGGAAGGCTTGGGGAGAGGAAGGAGCAGAGAGAGAGAGACAGAGACAGAATGAGATAGAGACCACACAGACACAGAGACAGGAATGAAACAGAGAAACAGACATAAGGAATCTCAGGGAAAGACAGAGACTGGCTGAAGGCCATCCTACAAGTGGGGCCAAAGCCTGTGGTCCTGGCAGTTTAGAGATTCAGCAAGAAGGAATGCAGTTACCTATCCAGCAGACCTTGCAGAGAGTGAAAGACGGAAACCTTTACAAACTAGCTAATGATGGTGCAGGGGATGAAGATCTGAGTGAGGAATCAGAAGTCCTGATGCTTTGTACGAACTTCATTGTTTGTCTGAGGCCTTCACCTCTCTGGGCCTTAGGTTTCCATATGTAAAGAAGAATTTGGACAAGATAGTCTTGGAGGCAGCTCTGACAATGCTTCAGGACAGTGACTTAATTCTAGGCTTTCTCTAGCCTAGGTGCTTTCGAGGAGCGATTACTACTAGAAGCTGTGAGCCTGGACCATTCCTTCAGGCTGGATGGAGGCTGGGAGTGGGCTGGCAGAAGGTAGCTAAGACTCTGCAGGATGAGGAGACAGAGGAGGTATGGGCCAGGCTCCCAGGAACACTTACAGCTCATCATCGTACACCTTCAGGGGAGAGACGGCAATAACGAGGTCGATCCAGTCCTGCAGGGAGAAGGGTGTGACTCTGGGGCATGCACAGTATTGATGGCATGTCTGTCCCTGACACTCCATTCCTGTTCCTGGACACCAGAGCCCAGCATCAGCTGGCTGGGACCTTCTTCCCATGGGAAGGTAGACCCAGGTTGGGCTGGAGGACCCCCTGGTGGGATGGGCCTCACTGTGCAGTCCTAGGATCTGGGGAAGCTTCCAGCCTCTAAGCATCCAGAACTGCAGAGGCCAGGGCTGCCGGGTCCTTGAATGACACTAAGTTCCCAAATGCTGATCTGTGGACCAGGGTTAGGCATCGACCTCAGGATCACAGTGGGGATTTCTTAAAACTCTAGACTCATGGACTTGACTCTTGGAAATCTGGGGTAGGTCCTGGGAAACAGTGTTTTTAACAAGGTCCCTGGGTCATTCAGATGCACACAGCCAATTAGAAAATTTCAGGCCTGGCCTTCTGATCCTAGCATGTTTATCCTCTCAATGGATCCCTGTCATCCTAGGCTTGTCCATCACCGTCTATGCTTGGCTTGGGTATATCCGATAAAAGGCAGGTGAACTATCACTGGGCCTCTCTACCATGCAATAGCTTCTAATATTGACCTGAAATCTCTTCCCAGGACCTCCCTCCATCCAATCCAGCTCTGCTCTCAGGGACCACAAAGAACACTTCTGCTCCCTCTACCCTAATGCAGCCCTTCAGATAATCAAAGACAGTCATCATGTTACCCGTAAGTCTTCTCTTCTCCACATCCCTTCATGGGGGTCCCAGTCCCATCTGGTCAGCTTCCTCGGCTCTGAACTTAATACCTCAGGCTCGGCTGCCTGCATACAGTTGCACAGGTTGTGCATTGCACAACAGGAGCGGGCACCATTCCCACTGCATTCGGTAGGAGGGCACCCCCTCGGATTGTGCAGTGCACAGCCTGGGGGATCGTCTGTGGTGGCCCTGACCCAGGTGGGTGTCTAGCGAGCAGACGACAGACCACCAGCAGCCCCTCCTCCATTCTGGGACCTCTGCTTCTGTTAATGCTTTCTAACAGCCCCACGCACTCTCTTCATTCCTGGTCAGTGTGCACTTAGAGAAGACCTTAAGTTTTTTCTTGGGTGGGTTGCCACACCTGGTCATCTGGAGTCTGTATCTGTGTCACTTGCTTTTTGGATTCAAGATGAGGAACTGACATTTATTTTTCTGAATCCCACATTGTCAGACTGAGACCATGGCGGGTATGCGGGTGTCACCAGGAGTTGCCTGGACCCTGGAAACCAGCCTTGGGATGGGGCACCCCAACTGTAAGGCCTGGCTGCAGAGGCCACGTTATGAGGCAAATGGGCAAGGGAGGGAGGCAGGGAGGAGGTTCACTCTTACCCCCTGATTCCAGGCCTTTTGCAGGGCGGCCTCAGCCTCAGCCAGGGTGTAGTCTGTCACGATTTTGCCATTGATCGCCATGACCTCGTCTCCTTTCACAATACCGCCTGCAGGAAGATGAGGCTGATTGGCAGCTGGACTGTTATGTGACATGCGCCTGGCCCACTGGGTCACTGTTGAGCTGCAGAAGGAGCCTGACTCCTGGACTCTGAAAGCTCACATGGGCGCAGAGAGCATGAGGGGAAACAGGCCACCAGGTCACTCAAGGGGCACTCCCTTCCCATGCCACCCACACACCCTCACCCCACTCAGTAGGCTAGGGACAGAAGAGGTGACTCTTTTCTAGGGGCTCTGCTATTTCAGAGGGAAGCAGACCCGCATTCTTGGTGAGGTTACTAGAAACAGGAGCTCGTTCTGCGAGCCATCTTCTCTGGGCTCCAGCCCTGCTGGTCTGCTTCAGGCCCTTGAGCAGGCCGAGCTCTTTCCCGCCTCACGTACTGTTCCGCCTGAAGCACTTGTCCCTTCTCTCTCTCTTCTTGCTGCATCTGAGATGAAATGCCTCCTCCTCAAAGAGGTCTTCTCTGACCCCTGACTCACTCTAAAGTAGATCTCTCTTTTTATTCTCTCACAGTATCCTGGTCTTTTCCTGAATAGAATATTTCACAATTGGTAACAACTGTATATCGCTTGACTGATGGTCTGTTTCTTCCACAAACCAGTCAGCTCCATGAGGACAGGAATGATCTTTTTGGCTCAACATTCCCAGCACAAAATAGGAATTCAACAGATACTTCTTGAATTAATGAGTGCTGCTTGAAGGTGTTCCTGGATAAGATGACCTGTGATCTAATAAATCTGGGCAAAACTTAGTTAAAACAGTTATTTACTGCAGGACTTGCCAGACATTGAATATGCTAATATGTATGTGGCTCTCCAAGAAGTGGAGAGCTTGTGAATGGTTTCCTACATATCTTCAACTCGGAAACTATCCCCCTGCCTGCCCCCAGCCGCCACCGGTTCTGGTGTTCACAGAACACTCTCTGGCTTTGTTGAATTAGATCCACCAGAAGCAGCCTTGTGAACATGGAGGCCCATAGGAATGTGGCATGTGCTACTGAAGAGGGCAGCTTGAACACATGTGCTCCCGGGGAAACTTCTACCAGCTTCTTGTATGTCCAAAGCAGTATGGGACCAAAGTGTACACAGCAGTTCCCTGTGTACAGAGGGACTGGGGAGAGGAGACTTTTGCTTTTTCATTTCATACAAACCCAAGGTAGAGCCCCAGGGATGATAGGGCACAGGCTGGGCTGGGGCTTTGTAAGGCTGGGGAGGCCCAGGAAGAGTCAGCCATCCACCCTGGTCCTCTTTCTGCTAGACATGGCAGACAGGCAGGCTCCTTTGGCCGAGCATCAGCCACCTCTCAATCAGCACAGAAATGAGACAGAGGAGGAGGGTGTGGGCATGGCAGGCAGAGGTGGGCCGTGGCGGCTCCCTGGCTGAGCAGGCCCCCTCCTATGGCGGAAATGGAGGCTAAGAGGGTGGCAGCAGGGGGTCTGGTCACCAAGGCCATGGGTGGCAGACTGGACTTGCCTCAGCACCCCACAGAAGCCTGGCTGCCAGCGACCAGGTGACGCGCCCATCACGCCACTCCTGCCGCAGGCCCTCGCCCACCCTCCATTCTGCCACCTCGGCTTGGGGGAGAGCCTGACCTCAGCCCGGACTGCCCAGGAGGGTCTGATCGAAGGATTCTCTGCTCTGGCCCAGAAAGGCCAGGCACCCGGGCTCCTCCTTTGAGGACACCTATATGCCTCCACAAAAGACCTGAAAGGACTGAAAAACCTGCTGGAATTGGAAGAAAAAATCACTAATGCTGACGTTTCAGTTGCTGTCTCACAAGTGAGAGGGTTGATAGTTTGGGACACGGGTCTGGGGCTGGGTCCGCAGAGGCTTTGCTCATCAGCGTGAGGGTGTTTTGCGGATGAGGGGATAAAGGCAAAGCAAGAAGATCATGCCACAGGCAGACACAGGGTGTGAGGGGGCACCCTGCACCTCTGGGAGGGGGCAAGGCGGCAGAAGGCCCCGGCAGAGGTCACACTTGTGCTGGACACTAAAGCCACGTGACCAAGCTGCTTGGGCTCAAGTCCTGCCTCCACTGCTTGCTGGCTGTGGGTTCTCGAACAAGTACTCTAACCTTCCTGTGCCTGTTTCCTAAGCTGTAAAATGGGAGCAACAGTACCTACTTTCGGGCTGTTGAAAGGATTAAATAAGTTAATACACGCAAATGACTTAGACATGGGGTAATGTGCCAGATACTCAGAATAGCATCTGCCACATTGTTAGTGATTATCGGTATTAAAAGGATGGGTAAGGTTTTGATGGCTTGTCTCCTGCCCTCGTATGTGCTGTCCCCTCTTCCTGGAAAGCCCTTTACCACCTTCAGAGGGGGTAACATGGATTTATCTTTTCAGGGTCAGCTTGGGTATCACCCTTCTAGGGAGCCTTCCCAGGAGCCCCCTTTCCCTTGGTGGGTTAGGGGCCCCTCAGAGTTCCCACAGCTCCCCCACCCGCCGCCCCACCACCCCAGCCCTTTGTCAGTCCTTGGCAGGCCACACTGTCACTGTTTTCACCACCAGAAGGGGAGCCCCTGGGGGGCAGGGGGGCATCTGGTTTGGCTGTAAAACCATCACACCGTTCCCAAACCGGGACATGGCTGGTCCCACTCACCATGCCGCTCAGCGGCTCCCCCCTCGTAAACGGCTGAGACGACCACCTTGCCGATCGGGGAGTCCACGCCGCCTTCCAAGGCCAGGTCCAAGGATCCCTCCTGGTTAGAGGAAAACAGGCCTTAGGGAGCCAAGCAGACATCAGCCTGTGGGCGCCTGGGAACCGCTGAGCCTCTTGACAGGGCCACAAAGGACAGGAGAAGTCACAGGGCCAATGGCAGGGCCATAAGGGAGAAAGTGAGGACCTGGCCATAGGGTCTCCTCACAGGAAAGGGCATCCTTAGCGGGAGAGAAGGGAATAGTAGGGGTCTGGGAGGTCACCCAGGAGTCTCTTCAGGGTAGGAGAAGCAGGGGACCAAGGTAGGAGGGGACAGGAGCAGAGAAGGGTGGTGGTTACCCAACATCCAAGTGGCCAGATACCTTCTTAATGCGCAGGAGCCGGACATCCTTCCCTATGATCTGTTCTGGGGTGAACTAGGGGGAAAAGACAGGGGGGGCACTTTGAGTCGGGCTGAAGGGTGTGGGTGGGACAGGGTGGGAGGGGAAGCCAAGGCATCGGTGGGACATTGGGCCTCACCGAAGACATGGACAAAAAGACCATTCCCAACCCCTCCGCCATCAGGCTTCAACTGGGGGGCCCAGGCCCCATGGGGGACACAAGAGCACACACACAAATCCCAGACCCACACTTGCTGGGCATATTGTGAGACTGGTGAGAGTGCGCCTTGCCTACACACGGCACAGTGCCTGGCGCGTAGTTAGCGCTCAGGAAGTGCAACTTGTTATAAACCACATACATACACACACACGCACACTGGGATGCTGTTTGAAAGGAACCTTCACAAGAAGGAGCAGTGGGGGCTGCCTTGGGGTTCCTCTCATGCCCCAACCCATCCCCAGGACCCTGGGGCCCAGCATACACCACCATGGAACATATAAACCCCAACCCCTGTTCCTGGGGTTGCTCCCCCACAGAGGAGAGTTCTCTCTCACCATGGAGTAGGGGTCAAAGCTTTCTTCATATTTCCGGAAATCCTGGAAGCAAAGGAGAGAGTTAGGGCAACAAGACCAGAGGCCCCTGAGGGTGGCCAGGCATGGGGCAAAGGAAGACAATGGTGAGCAGGTCAGAGGTAGGGGAGAGAGCGAGGGGTCGGGTGTGGCTGGATGGGGGGTGCAGGGAGGAGGCTGGCAGTCCCAGCAGCCGAGCGCCCCCACCCAGGGAGAAGCAGGAAGCTACAGGAGGCGCTGGAAGAACCCTGGCTCTGGACCGTGCACTGTCCCAGCGGGGTGAGCATCTGTGGCCGGCAGGGGCACCGGCTGACACCTAGGTGGCCTAGGCAGCGCCAGCCTTGTTGAGTGTTTTATCGTCCCACAGCCACGGGTCCTTTAGGCCCCGTCGCAGTTCCTCCAGGTGTCCTGTGAGGCCAGGCCCAGGCTCTGGAGGGTGAAGCCCAGCTTTTGTCTGCCCAGGGCTCTCATCCCAAAGAAGGACAAACAATGCTCAAGAGACTGCTCTTCCTGAGGAATCAGCCACAAGATGGGGTCGGGGAAGGCGGGGGGAGGCAAAGGGAGCTCAGGCACCGAGAGGAAAAGAGGGAAGTCTGTGCTTGCCCATGTTCAATGCTGTTCATAATGTAAATCTTATCCAGAAGGCTAGAGGCCTTTCCAGAGCTTTAGCCAGGGAAGGAGAGAGGACATACAGCTCAGGGGACCCAGCTTGGTGGGGACTGTGGGGAAAATATCCCCAAGATGTAGAAACAAGGTGGTGAGAGGGAGACGGGGGAGAGCCAGAACACACCACGTTCCCAGGATTCACACAGGGAGCAGGAGCCCAGGGTCCGCAGGCTGAGGGGCCAGGCACACCAAGCTTGAGATCAGCAAAACCTCAGTTAGCCTCCACTGGAAGGTGGGAGCGAAGGAGTGGCCTTTCCAGACTGAGTGGAACCACCCCGAGTACACAGTTCCCTAGGCCATGACAAGCGTCCCCTGGGGCCTGCGGTCAGCACCATGGGGAGGCCACATGCAACAACCAAGCTCTGAGCACAAGGCGAAGGCCAAATATCAGCAGACGGATCCTTGGGCATTTGTCTGTCCTCCCTCCTCACTGGCCTTCATTGCCCCGGATCAACCCCCAAAAGCCAGAAAGTCTCAAGCCTGGTCCAGATCTGAGGCCACCCCCAGGTCAGTCTATGGGTGTCAGGGCAGCAGACAGAAAAGATGCAGCAAATCCATAGGCAAGAGAGGGTATTAGGCAGGATATGGAGTCAGTGCTCTTTCACTGAGTGCCCAGCATACCCCTGGCTGTTTCTGTTGCTAAACTCAGCAGTGCTGGCTATGGGCCTGAGAATCTTCCCCCTGAGAGTCTGCTCTCAGGAATGGGCCAGATGGCAAGTACTTGCGTCTTGTGTAAATTTAGATCAGACTTATAAGCCATGATGGCTGGTCAGCCCTTGAAGAGGGAGCCTAACCCCTCATCCAACAGATAGAGAAACTGAGGCCCAGACAAGTGACATTCATGCCCAAGGTCACTCAGTCAGTGGGCTGTGGAGCAAAGGTTGGAGTCCCAGTCTGCACCCTTGGACTTCTCACCTTCCCGCCTCTCTTCCTTTGAGACCTGTGTGTGCCCCAAACAAGGCCCTTGAATATCCATTTTATGATCACGGAGCTTTGAGAAGCAGAATGGCGTAGCATCTAGGAGCCTGACCTCCTGGGTTAGGATACGGGGTCTGACACCAGCTGTGGCCTCATAGGTAAGTTTCTTAATCTGTCTGTTTCTGTTTCTCATTTACAGAACAGGGATAATAATAGCACCTAACTCCTAAGTTGATACAAATTTGAATGAGTTAATAAAGTATTTAGAAACAGTGCTTCATGCTGCACACCTTCTGTTAGCCACCGCCTGTCGCTGCCCAGTCTTGGGCTGGGAGCGGCCTCCTTTGCCGACTCCCACATCCCACTGTACAGCTGACACCTCCCCTTAGCTCCTTGCCTGTAGTCACATTAGTCCGCGCTTGGGTGGTGGGTTATCAGTGAGGAGGTTGGCTGCAAGACCTCCCTCCATCTGGGGGTCTCTTTCTTGGGTGGTGAGGCAGCCAATCCAATGGTTAGTTCTGTGGGTGAAAGTCCCAGGAGGTAGGGACCTTAAGTGGCTGCCTGCCTGACACTGCTCGTGGACCAGCTAGGACTTCTGCGGCCTGGTGCACAGGAGCACCCTGAGCAGACAGAGGATCTGGGCCACCACTTCCTCCCTGATGCTGTTTCGGTGCCAGGTGGGGTTGTTTTGAAGCTGTGATGTGCCTTAAGGGGACAAGACAGGGGAAGGGGTAGGGAAAAACCTCAGGCACCCAGGGCTGGAACAAGGACCCATCTTGCCCTCTGTGGCCCTCTGAGGGTTCTCTCTGCCCTGTTCCTCTTTGGTCAAACAGCAGCCAAAGAGCTGAGTCCCCAGACTTCCTGCATGGGATCAACAAGCCCAGCGTCCCCACCTGATATGAGACTCTCCCCAACCCCCGGCTCTGGCCATGGGGACACAGCTCTGGCCTAAGGCTCTCGACAGATGGCCCTTGGGGCCACCCGAGAGCCAACCAGTACTCTCAGAGAGAGAAGTCAAAGTGAGGGGCACAGAGAGTGGCAGGGAGGACCACAGACACACAGTGGGTATCATTTTACTTGTCTGAACGCTGTCTGATAAACCACCATCCTCTTCAACATCTCCTGTGGCTGCCAGGAAAAAAAAAATTCCATGCTGGATGTTACAAATCGGTCTTGTCTGCCCCCTGGTGCCAGATCCTGGGCCTGCCAGCCTGGGGCTGCCCTGCCCACCTCCCTCCACAAGCAGACACAGCCTGGTTTCTGTTTCAGCCCACGCGACATCCCCAGACACAGCAGCTTCCCAGGTCTAGTCAAGCAGACCCCACCCCTTGTCATTAGCCAGAGAATGTGACACAGATGCACCAGCAGATTGTCACAGGAGCACGAACTTGGCTCTTTGAGGAGCTGACAAGACAGCTGAGCCTCCATATAAGTACCCGAGTGGCCCTGCCCTGACATTTGGATAGGGTGTCCTTGAAAGGAGAGTTAGAATTCTGGCCTGACTCTCCCTACCATGGGTGGGAGGCGAGTCTGGCTGGTGCCCCTGGAGTGGGGTGCACCTGAGTCCCGGCTCGCTCGGCTGCAGGTGACTGAGGGGGGGCCAGACCTCCCTTCTGTCCCAGGACCACGCCTCACACTCCCAGTCCCAGTGAGGCGTGAGGCTGAAATGGAGAGAGGCAGTGGGTCTCCTTTGGCCAGTTCCCCATCTGAGGGTGGCCTGTGCCACGCCCTGCCATGGCGGGCCTTCGGGACAGAGGCTAGGGCAACTAGAATCACTGTAAGTTTTGTCAAGAAGACAACATAAGTAAGAGCTTGAGCTTGGAGTCTGAATGACTCTGGAGTAAGTAGTAAGTCCTGGCTTTTCCTTGGGCCATCAATTTAGCCTCTCTAAGTTTTGGGTTCCTCAAGTGTGAAACATGGATAATGCCAGGTACCATCTACTAGATTGCTGTGAGGAGTAAATGAGATCTTGCAGAGCCTGACAGATGGTAGGCTCATAATAAGTCTGTAAGGAACAGGAATGTTGCTGGTCATGTCCACAACCACTTACACCCATGTGAATTCATTCATCTCGTGGCCAATGAGAAGGTCAGGAGATGGCGCCTGAGGTGAGTTTGTATCCTACCTCACTCTCCCTCCAGCAGAACTCAGGGGAGACAGCCCTGGTCTGCTCCCCTGGAGATGCCCTGGCAGGGACCTGGGAGGCTTACCAGCACCTCGGATTTGACGGTTGGCCTGTAGATGAAGTTGGGCTCCTGTTGGACCATGACAGGCTTGGAGATGGTGGACACGCCAGGGCCTCGTGGAGGCTGTGGGCTTGGGCAAAATGTCTAGAGGGGTTAGTTTAAGAGAGGTCCACGTGAGGTCATGGCGGGTGGCCCAGGCCCACCATGGCACTCTGACCCACGTGCAAAGTCACACCATGCACATGCTGAGCCAGCCTGGTCCATTCACCCTGCCAGAGGTCCTAGGGGCATGATCTACAGCAGATGGGCAAGAAATCCACTGGCCACAGTGTGCCCTGAAGTCAAAGAAACTACGTGGCTCTAAGGAATCAGGACTTGAGCCAGAGTCTGTTTATGGGGTCACCAGCAGCCACTGTCACTCAGAGGATAGCATTTCAAGGCTTTCTCTCAGTGGCCGTGGATGCCATTCAGTCTCTTCTCTCCCTAAGGATCCTCTCTTCTGGCTATAGTTCCAGCCCCCAGACTCACAGGAAGCATCTGCTGCTCCTAGTGGGGGCGGGCACAGACTCTATGGAGGCTGGGGGTGAGGACCAGGAAGAGAGGCATCCTTGGGAGCTGATGCACCCTGTCTGCTTTGCTCTAACCCACTTGATCATCTTGGGCAAGATAAATTAAACTGGGTCACAACCCTGCCCTGAACTCTTGATGGGTCCCTGACTGCTGAGCTCCTCGACTTGACCCCAAGGTCCTTCATGGGCTTCTCTACCTCTGTTTACACTCATTCCTTACCCCTCACCTTCCTCGCACTGCCTAACTTTAGCCTCCAAATGCCAGAATTTCTTGCCTCAAGGCTTTTGCACATGCTCTTTCTGCCTGCTTTACCTGCCCAGGTGTTAGCTTGGGTATCACTGACTTCAGGAAACATTCTTTTAGCTTTTCCTCTCTGCCCCCACTGCTCATCACAGCATTTGTGTTCCACCTGTCTCCCTCTGGCAGTGTGGTGGTTTCCTGCTTACTTGTCTCTCTTCCTACCAGACTGTCTCGGGCAGGGACTGGGATACCTAGTTCGCGGTGGTGCTCCAGTGTTCAGCATCATGCCTGGCATATAGTAGTTGCTCACTAAACATGTTGCATGAATAAATGGGTGACGACAGTATGGTGGGCCCATGGGACAGTGCCTGGCGGTAAGTAGATATGACCCTGAGAAAATTCCCTTGACAGGTGGTGATGAGGCAGGTGCACAGACTGACACAGGAG